AAACAGTCCCGAAAGTCCCAGAAATCCTGAAATAGTTCCGAAAGTCCCATAGTTCCTAAATTTATCCCAAAAACACCGAAAGTCCCCAAAATCCAAAACAAAGTCCCAAGAGTACCAAAAATCCCGAAAATCCGAAATAATTCCTGAGAATCCCGAAGTAGTCCAAAAGTCCCAAAAATCAGGAAACTGCCCCGAAAGTCCCGAAATTACTCCCGACAATCTCGAAATATACCCGAAAGTTCCAAGGATCCTAAATAAGTCCCAAAAATTTGAAAATAGTCTCGAAAGTCCCAAAATTACCTAAATTATTCCCGATAATCCCGAGAGCCCCAAAAATCCGTAAATAGTCCCGATAGCCCCAAGAGTCCCGAAATTATCCCGAGAATCCCGAAAACCCCATAAATCCGAAATAAGTTCTAAAAATCTGGAAATAGTCCCGAAAGTCCCAAAAACTAGAAATTTGTCCTAAAAATCCAAAAATAGTCCCGGAGTCCCAAAAATCCCGAAAATTCCGAAATATTCCCGAAAGTACCGCTATTAACTCCAAGAATCTCGAAAGTCCCAAAAATCCCGAAACTAGCTCCAAAAATCCCTAAATATTATGAAAGTCGTTTCGAAAGAGCCGATATTAGTTCCGAAAATCTCAAACAAAGATTCCGGGAATCCCTAAAGAATTACGAAATAGCTTCGAAAACTCATAAATAGTCCCGAAAACCCCGAAATAGTCTTGAAAATTCTGATTTAGTCTGACGAATCTCTCAAATCAAGAAACAGTTCCCAAATTGAGGTGTGGTGAGTTTAGGTGACGTGTGGTGAGAACGGGTGTGATGAGTTCAACTGTGGTGAGTTAAGATTTGGCGGATTGCGGTGTACCAGTAGGAGGTGTGGTTAGTTTAGGTTAGCTATAGACTAAATACCTTGGTACTTTAGTGAAAGTATTTTACATCCCCAAGGTACCTGAGTACTTTGGACCAGAGTATTTAGCGCCTGCTAAATACTTTCGTTTTTTGTACTTTGGAATCTAGCAGCTCCTAAATACTCAAGTTTTTCTTACTGTAATATCTAATAGCTCCTGAATACCTAAATACTTTTTACTTGAGTATTTAGCACCACCTAAAGACCTAAGTAAATAGTACTTGGGTATTTAGCAGCTCCCAAATATCTAAGTTCTTTTTACTTGAATATTTAGTCATCTCAAAATACTAAGTATTTGTGTATTTAGTACCCAAAGTGGTACTTTAAGTACAAAAGTATTTAGGTGTGCCCATCACTGCTGCGAACACGTGTAGCTCAACTAGAACTGGTAGGAAATTCTCGTCGTAACGTCATAGAGTACTTAAATTTTGAATTTTCTCCAACATTTTAACGCACTTTAGCCACATTTCGTACGCGTCGTCCGGTATACTTTCGTCCCATTCCACCTTCCGTCTCCTCACAGCTTGTAGTTACAGTTTTGCTTTTAATGTAAACTCAGATGCCAGGCCGAAAGGGTCAAACACCGACATTACTATACCCAATGCTTCACGTTTCGTGGGTCTTCTTTCGCCTTTGACTACAGCTTTATCGACCTTACTAAGGATAAGTGCAAATTTTAGAATATCTTCCGCAGTATCCCAATACATACCCAGGACTTTCTGGAAACCATCCTTATCGAGACTGAAGTCTGCTGCTGTAGCTGCATCACCGTTTAACTGCTCAGTGACACTCTTGGCATTCGATATGAACCGCTTTAAATCGAAACCGCCCTGTTTAAGAATCCAACGCACTTCATTTGTTGTATGTACGGCTTCTTCCAGTGTGCTAAAGCAGTGTATGAAGTCGTCGACATAGTGGTTATTAAGAATTGCTTTTACGGCGTTAGGAAAGGCTGCTTGAAACTCCTCCACGTTCTTGTTTTTTACAAACTGAGCTAAAAATGGCGAGCAAGTCGCTCCAAGCGTCATGACTGACATCACGTATTCGCCGATGGCCTCGTTAGTATTCATTCTCCATAAGAAGCGTTGTGAGTTTTGGTCTTCCCGCCGTATTTCCACTTGATGAAACATTTCGACTATTTCACCGCACACACCTATCGCCTTCTGTCTGAACTTCATAAAAATCGTGGTTAATGACTGGCACAAGTCTGGCCCGCTGAGCAGGACTGAGTTCAGAGAAACTCCCTCTACTTGGGCACCAGCAACAAATACTAGCCTTAGCTTTTTTGGTTTGTTCATATTGAGAACTCCGACGTGAGGTAAATACCACGTTGGACTTCCCGTTTGTTGGACCTCTTCTTCGCTCAAGCGCCGCGCATAGCCTTTCTTCTGATACTCTTCTATGATATGCGTATACTGCTTCCCGAAATCTTCATCCCAACCGAATTTCTTCTCTAACGTGAACAGCCTTTTCTTTGCCATCTGCTTACTGTCAGGTAAGAAGACATGATCGCTCTTCCACAAGAGCCGTCTCTCCTTTCTCGCTGTTGTTTGCCCTTGTTATAGCGGCGCTGTCAACGTGCCTTGCTTTGGAGTTAACGCTCAGGGCCTCATCTACGGTGTGATTTCTTACCAAATTTTCTAAAGTCTCTTCGCTTCCCACTTGCGCAAAAAAAGAATGGTGCCGCTCATATTCGGAGATTTCTCGTTCACTTCCTTTGCCGTACACTAACCAGCCAAGCTTCGATTTAACCACTGCTGGACCTTGCTGTCCGTCTTGCTCTTCGCTACTCCCAAGTATGCATTATCAAGTCCGATTAATAGTTGAGAACACGCCAAATTAAAACTTGCTATAGGTAGACGCTTCGTGTATCAATATTTCCATTGCAGCTCAGAAATTACCATGGTATCGCTGTTCATCAGCGATATTGATGAACCCTCGTTCAAGAAGGCATAGCATCGTATCTCCTTTCCACTGGCATACAGCGTTACTGGCAAAATCTTGAATAGCACCTTCGAATTCCCTGGATGCCTCGTAGTGTTGGTAAGAATCAGCTGCTGTTGGGAGCGTTGAGTCTCGCCCTGTTGCTCGCCCGTACCTGTATTTGTAGCTTCGTCGGCATGTAATAGCTCATGAACCATCCTTAAGCAATAACGCTCCGAGTACTTATGCTTATACCTGTTGCTTCTGTGACCACTCTTCAGACAATTAAAACATAGTTTTCTTTCGCGCACACCTCTCCACCTTGATGCCTGATTCATCTCTAGAAAACGCCTGCACTTTGATAAATGGTGTGCCTCCGAACACAGCTTACGTAGAGTCCGACTGGCGCTCTGGAGGTGATCCGTATGAAAAAACCTTCCTCGGGCTTCGCCTTTTCCTTCTGATGAATACGCTTGTGAAATCGAAGTAATGCCGTCCGCGTTAACCACACGCGCTAGCTCTTGCATCCAGTTGCTGATAACACTCACTGTAGGTCTCGGTACAATATCCGCTGCATAACGTGCCCAGTCTAAACGCCACTGTATGGGAAGCTTGAGAAGTAGTTCTTCCATAAGAGTAGGATTACTGAAGTGGTAGCGAAAGGTACCAATAACTCTAAACGATTTTCTGTAATTTGTGAAAAGTTACGTATTCGTGCAATTTGACTTTTTACTAACAGTTCCGGCCTTCCGAAACGCTAAGGCAATTCTTGCATAACGCGGGGTACATTACTGCTATGGATAAGTAAATATTCGACTACCTGCCCCTTATCGCCTTTTGAAGCCGTAGCATATTTTGCCGTTCGTTGTAGCCATACTCTTCTGTGGTCATATAAAAGGATTCTCGGAACATTGCCTACTCTTCAGGTTTTCCATCGAATTCTGGAAGATCGTATAAATTTTTACTAGTGTTCGATCTGGTGGTGGCCAATCTTCGGTTTAGGTCTGCTAAAGTTTCTACAATTGAAGCGCTACTTCCCTCAGGACCACTTACTAAAGAGGGTGTGATGCTGAGAGCCAATTGCGCATTAGAAGTTGAAGGAGCATTATCACCTAAATTACATAGTTTCGCTATGGCGTCTGTAAGCTCTGCAACTGTTTCGCCATTGCGTTCATCTGTATTTCAAGTGGCAATGGTTGCTGAGAATTCATTGCAGCACCCTCTTCACGCACAGTCGTATTCAACTTGTCATTGCTGTTGTTGTCCTCGTCTTGCATACCGGATTCTGAGCGAGTTAAAACCATGTTTTTTAAAATGGCCGCAAACCGCTATTTTCTATTAGACACATGTTTCTACCGTTATGAAAGTCTAATCAGCTAATTGCACTTTACGTTGACTAAACATGACACACACTACACACCACCGAACTTACCCCAATCACCCTCTGGCACTTCACCTTCGCGGCTTCACTCCCAAGCAATCGCACGTCGAGACAGCTCCTCGAAAATCGCCAATTCAATGCTGGTGGACGCCCACCAAACGACCTTTATCTAATTTGTTGACCGGGCCTCTGTTAACCGGTTTTAGTTAGTTATTGTAGTCCGGATCTCTGTTAACCGGCTTTCGTTGGTGATGTTTAAGCCTCGAGATTTGGTGCAAATACGTTTAAATCAATTTGAATGAAATAAAAGGACGTTCCAGCACCGAAGGACGCAAAGAAATAAAAACGGGCAATACTCGCTTTATATGAGCGGTGACAATCACATGATGGGTTCACGCAGGTTTTTATTTCCTAGTAAAATAGATACAATGAAAATCTCAGGTAAAAATCTGAAAAGTGCTTACATTCGTTTTTCGTTCCCTGAACAATACAAAATTTAGGGATGACAAACATGTTCGATTATTCCAGCAGGAGCAGAGTTGCCAGAAGGGCCAATACATAATGCGACAGCACTAACAATGGGTTTACACCAAATAGCTACATAACTAACGACACTAACAACAAGTTTACACTTAATTCAAAACACATAGTTCGCCAACCCCTGTTGTATTGAAATTCATGAGCTTCGTATTGGAAAGATGATTGGGATCAATATCTTCAAGTAGTTCTGAAACGTTACTACTCCATTTTCTCAAATTCATCCCTGCGGATTGTAAGGCCGCGTTTACCTGATTGCGTAATTCTATTGCAAGGGCTATTGTTGTCAGAAAGCACGTCATCTACATATGTTTCCGATTTTAGACATGTTCAGCGATCGCTCATCCTCCGCAAGTTGCTGAAGGACTCTTATGGCTGTGTATGGTACTGACGCGGTACCGAAGCTTACAGTAGTGTAACGTAGCTTCGCCTACGCCACAATAACATATTCAACATCACCCTAGCATACGTCTTACAACTGGACATTTTATTTATTTTTTTTTTTTTTTACGAGGAGGAAGCATCGAAAGCCTATACCAGTCAGTGTG